CCTATTAATTGCCTAATACCTCCACATTTCATGTGGCTTTTAGTCTCAACTTTTGAGTGTTTTGGTTTTGTTTCAACAGACTTCAGCAAGAACAAAGAGAGCTGGTGGAAGTAGGGGCAGGAGGAAGCAAACAAGGCTTTGGTCACTCAAGGTACATGTAAACTCTCCCTCTCTTTCAGCCATGAGTGCTCATTTTGAGCTAGTGACCACGAGACCCAGGACCTGAAGACTTTGAGTACAGTTTGCAAAGGGAAACAGTCGTTGGATTACTCAGAGCAAGTAAAACTTTTTATTAATTTCCTAATTTTCAAACTCAAACATAAATAAATTATTTCCTATTGTGCCTGCCGTCAAACCTGCAATAAAATTAAAGATGTTATAATACACTACACGGGGGACACGGTTCTTTGACAAAGACCCTATGAAGTGCTGAATTTTCTCATACAAATAACATAAACCTTCTTTCAAAAAGAAAAGCACCTCCTGAATCCAGTTGAGAGATGGTGCCCCTGTGGCCACAGGGCAACTCCAATCTGTCCAGTGATGGGCCCGTTAATTGCCGAAAAAGTGCGGGGCTGGTATCCTGGGACCTTCACGTGGTGGCCCTGTTTTCACTAACCTTACCAGGATATATTCTTTTTTTGAGAATCATACGAAAGGTAAGCATGCCATTGGCTCAACAATATAATATGGACAACTGTGATATTTTTTTATGCATATAAAAAGATATTTTGTTTTCTCTGTGTCTGAAAAAAGTAGAAAACAACCTTTAGAAAGTAGCATTTATAGTTTGCTAAAAATGTGATATCCTATATTGCTTTAATTGCCCCTCGGCACTTTTTCATACTTTGCAGGATAATGCCAAATGAAAGTTCTTTGCTTCATAAGGAAAGTTTGAAGAAATTTCCTTGACTTGAGAAAAGTGGTAGATTGCCACTTTTTGTTAGCGTGCAGCTTTTGACAGAAAGCTTACTGAATTAAAATGCTTTTGATTTCAATAATGTTGTTCTCCTTTTTCCTTTGCTAAAACAGATAAATTTGACCTTGAAGGATGTATGTTATTACTTTCTGATGGTTTTAAACCACTGCAAGAGGAAAGGGATGATTTCCATTTATGGAACTTTTACCATTTTTACACAAGAAAGCAAGCAAGCAAGCAAGA